ATAAAGATCAAAGAGCAAAAACTTTGAATTTAAAGCTGAATAACAGCCGTACAAAGTACATGGCTTTCTGTTGCGAATTAAGATGTTAAATTCAGTAATTCTGAACAATTTCAAATATCCTTTCCCCCATGAAAATTTTTCTTCTAAAGCCCGGAAATTACACTTTACAAATTTCTCAGTGAAATTTTCATAGGCTATGCTAATTCGCAGCAAAAATGGCTTACAAACAGGAAAGACAAAATGAAAGAGATGAAACATTCAAGAAAAATTCGGTGAAACAATAAAAATATTAAAAGCGCTTTTTAAAAGTTGAACCACCGATGTATACACTAAGTCATCTTCTTCAAACGTGTGAAGAATTCGCTAAAAAGAAGTTTTATTTTACTAAGCTTTCCAATGAGACAGGCAGTCTATTCCGGATGCAAAAACTAGAGTTATCAGCTCATTAAAAGCATGCAGCACTTGAGAAAAACCTAGTAACTATTACTGTTTTATCGCGTTTATAACGGGGAAATATGGGAAGGCAGAGTAGAGGGGAGAGGTGCAGTGGGAGCAGAAATAAGTAAAGCAGACAACGACTGTTAAGACATGAAAAATACCGAGAAGATTAATTCAAGAAGTAGGAGCGAACTGGAAAAGATTGAACGAGATCAAAAAACAGTAACAACGTATGTTCAACAATTACAAAAAGGATAAAGCATGAGGAATAAAAACGGATTGCAACGAAACACCGATACAGTTTTGCTGAGCAACATGAACCCAGAAGTTAGCGAATGCTGTTTCTTACCATGACCGATAACTGCAACACCGGATACGTTGATTTAATAAGGTTTTTTTCTTTACATTGGAAAAATAATTGCCTTAATTAAGAATAAGAAATGCCTCTAGAATAGCACTTTTTTTTGAGATCTCACTGCTGAAAATTAACTGAGATTTCGGAAGATGATGAGGGACAAGCAAGTACGCGCTGCTTTCGTGGTTTATTTCGACGGATACTTGATAGCAGCACTTGTTTGGTGCCTTCCTGTGATGAAGAATCAATTGAAGAAACAATTCTGCTGTTCGTTGGAGCACGCAATTGTCGAGATTCCTCTTCACTGCATTCCATTCCTGGATCAACATAGACCGGACGTGTAACTGTCACCTAGAATGAATACAGCATTCGGATTAAACAATTATAGAAGCTTGTACAAACAACATGAGCCACAATCATTATGAATAATTTACATGAGTTCCCAGGATACATGATTAGCTTTATGTGGTCTTGGCTATGGTCAAAGTGCAAGGGATTTTTATGCAAATAAACAGATACGAATGGCAGTGTATTTTTGATGAAAATAACAAAAATCATGCGACGAAAAGCTGGAACCAGTACTGACCTGTGAATAAGATGGGGGAGGACTATGATCAGCAGCAAGACGAGCCCGATGTCGTAACTTTCGTCGACTTTTTGATGGACCTGTGTTATTACTACTGGCACTGCTCTGACGATGACGATCCACGTGCAGTCGCATTCCAGCTGGTTTCACAACGCCATATGTTGATAAACTAAAACCAACAAAAAGCATCCAGAGAATAAGAAAGTACTACTTTTTTATTTTTGAATTAACAAAGGTCTCAATAAATATGAATTTCTAAAAAGCGAATCTTGCAAAATGATGATATCTACCTAGCAGCTGACGGTGGTGGCGCATAAAATTTCCTGGGATTTGTATTTATTGCTGCAGCACTTGCATCAGCGAACACGGAGCTTCCTTCCGACCGGCTGGCATTGGCTGAGTGATGATAGGAAGTTGCATCGGTAGAGATTTGTGAATTTGGAGGAGGCAGCGCGTTGTACAGAGATGAGGATGCGCCAACAGAGTACGTCCTCAGTTGAAACTGAAATGAATGCCTAGGCCTCAGAAAA